CATATGTGTGTGTGATGATTTTAATTGTCTTGTACTCACCAGAGTTGAAAAATATGTAGATTTGTTGTTTCTTATTTATTCTTCTAAATTATTCAGCAGTCGAGTTATTTAAGATAGTAAACTTGATAACTAAAAGACAACTAAAAATACCATATATATATATAATATACAGTTCACTACTGCAAGAAGCCTAGTCTTATTTTTTTCGATTTGCCCTTGTCCAGGGTTCCTCGTTAAAGGAGAAATCCCCGAAACCGGTATGACTCAGTGACGAATCGAATGATAAATTGGGCTTCACATTTATTTTAATAACACACATACACAAACACATGTATATCTATTCTCAGTAGGTTATTGCATAAACTCGGTAATTTCAATCTTACTTTTTTAAGTCCAGTTAACGAGTTTTGATAATACTAAACAATAATATTTATATCTTGACTCTATGACCCATTCGAATATAGTGGTAAGATTACATACATATATATATATATAAAAGAAAATATTTCCTATACCAGTAAATAAAATAAATTTAGTAGAACAAGTTTGTGGTGTAAGTTGTAAATAGTTAATTTTATTCAAACAAGTTTATTCCCTTTACAAAACACTCAAGTGTATACGTTTTTGTCTGTTATTACAGAAGTACGTATTTTAAGTATGTATTTAACATCAAACTAATTTTTGTTTTATTGTATTTTATATGTGTGTTTTTATCGCATAAGATGTCATTCAAAACATAAAGTATTTTAATATCTTTAAAATTCTCCAAAAAATGGTTTATTGTAAGAAACATAAAGCTCGTGATTGGTGGTTTAAGCTTGGAATAATACCTTTGTGTTTAATGGCGATTCTGATAATTAATACCTATGAAATCTAAGAACCCATCATGTTCTGATAGTTTCAATAACTTGGAATTCACGGTGTTCAAATAATAGTAAAGTGTCATGATGTATATTATGGGCAGATAGGAACAATGTGCTGTTTAGTATATTATGCATTGGTTAAAATCAAATGCTTTAAGATCTATTACGTATCGATAGTAATAGTGTGTCCAAAACTATGTGTGTACCGGTGACACTTTACACTGAAATGCACCTGCTGTAAGTTAAAATGCACCAGGTTACGCCATTGTATCCAACACTATGTGAAATATATGAATATTACAAAATGTTGGGGAATACCTCTATACATACATAAATTGTTTTAATTATTATTATATCTATTTGTCTATACGAAAAACATTGGCTTCAGCATGCGGAAAATCTTCTAAAGTGCTTCCATCTTAATTTTCTTTTATCATTGTAAATAGTCATGGTTGTAGAAATATATCTTGTTAAATAGTCATGGTTGTAGAAATAAGTGTATATCTTGTTAAAATTATTATTTATTATTTTCAGGCTTTGTCCAAATACAATTCTTTTCGTATATATATAAATTCTTTTAATAAAAAAAAGTTTTTTTCTAATGAAATGCTTATTGTTTAGCGTTCGTTAATTGTTTTTCATTTTTAGATGAAATAAGTAAAGCCATTTCAATTTGAAAAAGTAACGTAATACAGAAATATAATACCAGAGGTCAAATTACATATACTTACATTAGTTTAAGCGCAATATAACTAAAAAACAACAACATAAAACTACTAAAGCGTTATGTTTACCTCAATGAAAATTTGAAGTTTGGGACGAATTTCAATGCAAGCATCGTCCCAACTGATTAATATCTGCGACATCACAGTATCATGTTATTATCAAATTATATATCTTATAAAATACTAGAATGGAATTGAAACACAAGTGTATTTTTTTTTTTCACGGGACATCACGCGTTCTTTTATCGCTGTATATAATTGAAATAAATTAAGCTATTTATTTTGAATTTAAATATTATTGTTGTTGTTCAAAGGACCAT